TTTTATATAACGATATATTGACACTCGATAATTATGTATGCAATTTTGGTATATTAGCCTCTGCGATTACCGATTTAGTGATTTACATTCAATAACTCCATCCTTTTAAATTTCATTTTATTGTAATCTAATAGTTTACGTGTAATTTAATATTTTTGAAAAAGATTCTGTAAAGTCGAAACGTTAGCTGTTTAATTTTGTAATTTGCACATTGAATAAAGTGTTCTACAACACCCCCAGAAAAACTGCTCCTTGTTAGGCTTTCTATATTTTTTATTTATATATATTTTTTATTTGATGTTACAAAAATAAAAATTAATTTACTGTTTGACATTTAATGACAATTTGATGTTTACATTAAGAAAGAATTAATGTTAAATAATTATGAATAAACTAATACTATTTGCATTTGTAGGTTTTTTAAACATCAAATAAAGACAAGTGATACAAATAACTTATATCAAATAATACTGTTAGTACTTACAAGTAATAGTTTAAATGCAAGTATCGACAACAGATGATAAGAATGAATGTTAAACTTGTTTCTTTTATATTTATGCTTACTGTAGTGCTACTACAAAGTAACACTAAGGGAGCAAAAGTAAATTTATGGAGAGATTTTAAATTTCTTCTTGAACCTTTGTACAATTACTTGTTTCCTAAAGATCCTGTGGTGAGAGTAAGGAAGCCAGAAGATGTCAAAACAGAACAGAACAATGTAACCTTATTGAATTTCGTAAGTGCAACGAAATTATTTTTTGCTATTTTGCTCGTTAAAGGCACATTTAAAAAGTTAATAACATTTTTTTGTTTAAGGCGATGCTGAAAGGTCGGAATTACCGACACATTTTACAGTTATATGAATATTTAATTGACTGAACGGAATTGAAAATCTTTTCACAGGATTGAAATAGATATGAAATGGTGGTGAGATGAAGGAATTTGTAGTAAAAAATTACATTTTTTCGGATCGTATAGCTATAACCTGACGTAAACATTTTATTAATGTAAAAGTCCTGTGGCTTATATGTACAAAATGCGTACGTCCCGTCATACGGATTACATGGACAATAATACAAAACCTTTTAAGTTATGATTAAAAGTGTAGAAAAAAGAAATATTCATATAACTGTAATTTATGGTAATTCGTATGCTTAGCTAAAATACAGAATAGTAAATACAATAAAAATTGCGTCTAGCAGTAAGTGCCGGATTTCGCAAGAGATGGCGCTTCAATAAGTAAAATAAGGACAATGTACATGTTTGAATGAGACAGAAGATATTGTAAGAAATTTATTTAATTATAAATTAAAGATACTATTATAAATAGAGATACTAGAATAATTAGAGATACTATTATAAATTAGAGATACCATTAAAATTAAATAGATTATTTTATCGATTTCGTGCAAATTTTTCCGACCTTCCAGCATCGCCTTAAATAACACAAAAATTATTTATTTAAATTATTTAAATTATTTAGACAAAAGAATATTATTAATACAAAAACATTTTGTGGTAATCAGCAAGATGTACAGCAAAAAAGTTTGAGATCGTTAGAAGGTAAATAATATTCTTCAAATCTTCTCTGAATTGTCTTTTTCACATAATTTTTCTTCTAATTATACTTATTATACAATTACTGAAAAGTATTGAATTGGCTCTTTCTTTAACATTCTATATGTTTACGCAGATTGGTTTAGTAGAGAAACATGGTTATTCTGCCGAGGAGTATTACGTAACAACGAAAGATGGTTATAACTTGGTAATACATAGAATATCAGAAAGACCTTTATCTAAGACTCAACAGAGAAGAAAAGTAGTGTTCTTCCAACATGGTCTTTTGGTCTCATCTGATACGTGGGTGCTGCTTGGTCCTGGTAGAGACCTTGGTAAGCGATCACATCAATGCATGATGCGTTTATTATTAAGTATGTTAAGGCGATTCTAAAATAGTTTGTTTTATCAATCGAACGTGATTTTTTTCCATGACGAAATAAACATAATTAAAGGCAACAGATTTAAAAATCCTTTTCCACGATTAAAGTATAGGCATTAATATTGTTCCGGCTGGTAAAGGTTATGCTGAAAACGAAAAAATTTAAGAAATTTAGATCTCCGTTACCTTTTCTTACTTCAATATGGTGTCTAGAGCTGTCAACATGTACCAATATTTGCTTCGTACAAAAATTTGGCAGTTTGTTGGTACAAAATGATACTAGCCGAAACTACGAATTACAAGTGCAAACAATGTTGTGTTCATAAAATTAGGTTTGAATGTCTAATAAAAAAGATATATGTCAGTGAAAATTTGTTACGATGTGTGCGTGCGATATCAATATAATAGTAAACATGAATACATCCCTATTACCATCAACACTATCGCATGCCTGCATACTCACAAATCGTCGGTAAAACAGCGATATTTTTAGAATTTGATTCCAGTTTATAGGATCGCCTTAAGAGGATTCTAAATTCTAGATCAAACTCCAAAAATCCGCTGTTTTACCGACAATTTGTGAGTATGTATGCGTGCGATATTGATGATGTAGTGTGTAGTGATGTGTCATGTTTATTACCACATCAATATATCTCACGCATACATATACACGAATTTGTAGGATACAAATGTACTTTTATTTAGACTTCTAAATTTGATTTTAACGACTCACCT